TATAACGAAAAATTCACCTCATTCTACGTTGCTTTTTTGGAATACGACCCCCAGTATTTGTCCCATTACCACTAGCCAAATCTTTATCAGTGCCGCCATTCCGTCTTTGCTGTTTTTGTCTAATTTTTGGGACTTGTTGCAAATTAAAATTGTTATTGTTTAAGTTTTCCATTGTTTGGTTTTGTGTTGGATAATTTAAATTGTAGCCTTGTTGAGCTAAAAACATTTAGAAATTAAATAGTTAAAATTTGGGTATAGATACAGCTAGTTGAATTTGTTGCACTACTGCTGTGGCTGTGCATTGAAGAACGTCGTTTGTTGGTTGATTTTTGGTTTGTTGCCGATGAATCAACAATATCTAATAAAAATTTAATAATAAACTTGGTGGTAAGAAAATACTAATCAAGAACAGGGACATACCTACAAACTTGGGAAGGACTTAATGGCCCACTTATCGCTAAGGCGACTAACATAATCAACTCGGGTATTTAATTTTTTTCTAAAATCGACACCTCTTTTAACAGTTCCTGTCCCAGTCTGCTCAAATCTAAAATTCACGGGAGATTGAGGAACAGCCGTATGTAGAGGAAATGGTGTAGTTGAAGGATTAGAATTACAAGCAACAGGTCTAAAAGCAGTATTATTATTACAACATCCATTATTGGTTTGTTGTTGTTGAGCTGCTAATTGCTGCAACAACAAATTTAAATTTAATCCGTTTAAATGATTGTTGTTTTGATGTTGGAATGTTTGTGGAAGTCGTTGTTGTTGTAAAGAACTTTAAGAGGGAAGAGAAAATTGTTTGTTCAAGTTTTAAAATGTTTTTATGTCAGTTTAAAAATTTAGAATGTTTTTATCGAACATGGTTGTGTTTAAAGTGTTTTTAACAAGCAAGTTTTGATGTTTTTATGTTAATTCTAAACTTAAAACTTGTTCGTAAACATTCAAACATAGACTTGACCGTTCAAACAAGCATGATTTCATTCAGGTTTTAAAGTTTTTAACGAACATGTTTTAAGCTTAGGTATAATGTTGGGAAAATAACTTTCGGGTTTAGAATGTTTTTATAAAGTTTTGATGTGTTTATGTTTATTCTATATTTAGACTTGTTTGTCAAGATAATTTAAACTTAAAACATGTTTTATACATTATGTTGCAGCTTAAAACTTGTTCGTCAACAATTAAGTTTCAATTTTTAAAGGTTTGTTCGGACAAGTTTAAAGCTTAAGTATAATGTTTAAAAACATGTTTTAAGTTTAGATGTTTATTAAAAACCAACGCAAAATTCCTTTGTTGTTGTTGATTAAATAAAGTAGCATAACTTAACCAATTAAATAAATGTTGCTGTTGTTGTTGAAGAATTCCAGGTGTTGCTTGGAATGTTGTTTGTGTTTGTAAAGGTGTGTGTTGTTGTGATACTGGTCTACTAAAAGAGGAAGGCCCTTCAATTGTTGGAATACTTGGAGGGGAAAATTTAGTTGTTGAGGGGCTTTGTTTTTGTTGTTGTTGTGTTTGTTGTTTAGGTGTAATTGAGGAATGACTACTTGGGGGTTGACTGTTATTTATTGACATATTATTACTGTTTGTTAAGAGTGGAGATGAACAAATACCTTTAAATTAGAAAGTGAGATAAGTTGGGCCTCACTAATTGATACACTTTTAGGGTTGAAAAGTCTCTATGTTAAATATGGAAAGAGATGGAGGAAGGGGGAGGAGGTGTTGCTTAAACGGATCTCACATCCAGTTGCCATCCAAATTTAAAAAACGTATCCTCAACTGTAGTGTCTTGTAGTGGAGGCATTTTATTGTGAGATTCTAATAGAACTTTCGTTATTTTTAGGAGTCTACTAACCAAACATTTTTTAAAAATTTTATTGTTATTTTGAAAAAAAAAAATTTTTTTAAATATTTTTCCTCCCGATCACTACACCTTGAAAATTCTGTTCATTTCCATTATTATTATTCCCTCTCAAAGCCGCCATATAAAGCTGTAAAAGAGCAGCCTGGCTAGCTGGAGGGCTTGCAAACATTGTAGAAAGTAATTGGTGTTGTTCAGGTGAAAGAGGGGGCAATCCTGTATTTGGGGCTATATTTGTAGTTATTGTCCCAATATTGTTTGTTGGGGTGTTTGGATGTATTGTTGTTACATTATTATTGTTGTTGTTATTGTTAAATGCTCCCCCACAACCCCCTATATTAACTAATTCGGCTCCTTCTGTACGTGCTCTAATTGTTGATAAATCGGGATCGAATGCTGCTGTTCTTTCGTTGGCTAGAAGAAAATGTTTTTTTGAATTTTTGAATGATTATTTTTCGTTAATTTAGATGTTAAAAAGTCGGATCTCATTTTAAAATAAACGAGTTACCCGAATTGTAAGAGATGTATCTTATATGGAGAGGTTCTATTATCGGGCGTATCTTATACCGATGTTCGATTGCATTATTTTGAGTGAGAGGAATTATTAGAGCTATCTAAAACTCTTGCTCTAGAGACGTAGGATTTGGGTAGTTTTAAAGAATGATACAAGATTTTCCTTGGAAGAAAATTGCCTTGCACTGAACCGACCAGATCTAATGAATAAACTTAAACGTTTCATTCCAAAGTCTCTCTTATTGTTTATATTACTGTACTTATATTTTTTTAGAAAATTTTGGTTGAAAAAACATATTAAATAATCCAACCCGAAAAGGAAGAAGAGCCTTCTGACGAACTATTAGTTGTTTTAGTTCCAATACTGGCATCTGTTGTACTCGACATACCAGAAATTAAAGAAGGTGGTGTTCTTACCTTTAAAGAAAAGGGTATTTTCGAAACTTAGATACCTCCTTTTAACTTGAAAAATCGTAGATTATAATAAGGTTATCTTAAAAAGAGGGTATCGCTTAAGTAGTAGCTCCCCCCCCCCCCCCCCCCCCCCCCCGTGTCCAACAGAAATGAATTTTTTCGGCATGAAATTCAAAACCGATCCGAAGAGTTTTTCTACCATTCCGAGACATCCCTAGTGGCCAATCAAAAAACTATTTTGAACTAAATAATTAATTTTGGAGGGTTTTGATTTTATAAAAAATTGTCGTTTAAAAAATGTGTTCTTTAAATTTATCAAAATTATCACATTTTTTATTAATTTTTTAACTTTATTTATTTACCATTTTTTCATTATTAATTCTCGAGTTGTTATTTTTATTACTATTTAAATTGTTGTATTTGCCAATATTTTTTTGATTACCGTCTCCTTCATTACCGCACCCACCGATAGAGGCATTATTATTATCGCTACTTATACTTCCATTTTGTGTCATTAAACGTACTAATTGGGCTGCCTTTGCTGTAGTTGCTGTATTTGTAGATGTAATGGCGGAAGGTGAGGAGCAGGCAGAGAAGGAAGAGGAAGTGGAAGAGGACGTGGTTGATTTCTATTTTTGGGTTAGAAAAAGCAATTTTTTAAATTTTGGTTAATTTTAGTAGTTCTTAGATAAAAGTTTAATGGAGACGGTTATTAATAGACAAATGAGTTGTAATAAAGCAGTTAGTCAGTAGGGTTGTCGGATCCGGATATCCTGATCTTTTTTATTAGAAAATGTATCGAAGTTGTATCCTAGAATTTAGAAACTCCCCCATCGAGTGGTCAATCAAACAGTTTTTCGACCTTCGACTTATCGGTGTTTCGTCATTTGCTTCGAATTAATTTTCAAATTTTTATAAGAGAGGCACTTTTTAATGGTGCCGTGTGATTTCGCCAGTATACGATTTAGAACGACACGCTTTTTAATAGAGAGATATGCTACTATAAAAAATGTAATGTGTTATTAACTGGAAGTTTATTGAAGACAGAGACTACAGTATATTAATCTAATAAACAACTCTAAATACCTCAATCTGTTGCATAAAGATATTAAAAATGTCCGCAGCCAACGTCGAGGCATAAACAATAAAAAATTCCCCGTATAAAACAAAAAGATTGGCACGAGCCAAAAGTGGGCGGAGTCAGCCGTTTTTGTTGTTTAAATGTAATTTTGAGTTATTTTCCAAGTTTATTTATTTAAAGTTTATAGCCTTTTAAAGTTGTTTTTAATAAAATAAAAAATATTTTGTAGACTTGAATTGGTGTGGATATTTTTTTTTAATAGAAAATTTTTAAGAGAGAAAAATGCAGTACAAAAACCGGGATTAAATTAAATTTATATTAAAACGTTCTGATGCAATTCTATATAGGCTGAAAATAAAATAATTTTTAAATAAATTTTTTTATAAGGGCTTGAAAGGTTCTACAGTTCGGTCGATATCCTCTTAACTAGAGACAGGACGAGACGAGATCTCGATCAAAAGTCTCAGTTATCGAGATCGAGAATTTTTTGAGATCTCGATTCTTGTACGAACATCCTAGTCGATCTCTACTCTTAACCGTTTAAAACATCAAAAATCTTTTAGTGAAATATCCTCCACGTGTTTATATTTTTTATAGAATGTCAGTCTGTTAGTGAAATGTCAGACTATGTGTTACTGCTAATTATCTTGTCTTCAACAACCTTTTTGTTCAATTATTCTCTACGTGATAAACCCTGTGTACGTGTGCTCGCAGATTTGCCGAAAGTTCGGACAAATCTTGGACAAGTCTAAATTAGGAATGTAAACGTTGATAAAATAGAGGGTCTAAAGAAGTGTTTATAGTAGGGTTGTCCATGGTCCGTTAACTGAACCAAAAAAACTGGTGTTTTTGGCCAATAAACCGAAACCGAAAACCGGGGGTACCGGGGAATAACCGGTAGTGAACAATCCTAGCTTATACAAAGCTATCAAACAGAAAAGTTGAAAACAAATTTACTAAATAATTTTTAAAATTAGTAAAGACATCCTCCTCCCTTCATTACTAAAAGTACAGCAGATATTAATAAAGTAACATTTTTTAATTTTTCCATTTTCTGACAGACAATTTTTAGCTTTTTAGATAAAATTAATGGAAAGAAAATAGCTGCACTAATAAATAAATAAAAATCCAAAAATGTTTCTTTACTCTATTTTTAGGGTGGGATTAAAAAAAGTGTTCGTTTTATTGGCGATAATTACAAAAAAAAATTACTGGAAGGCAATAATGATGATGAAGATTGAAAGGCGTGGAAAGCGCGAACGCGGGGTTTTTTAAGGGGGAAAATAATTTAATAGGGAGGGGGGGGGGTACTATAGACAAGTTTTGTTGTTAAAAATAAATTTTGTTTGACGTTCTTTTTTTTGAATAAATTTTCGATATAAAATGATAAATAATTTTTAGGGTTTCCAAACATCAGAAATACGTGTTTTTTGTATTTTTTTTTTGTATTTTTCTGAAAATGGGCACGCGCGCAATTTTTGGGTGTGCAAAGAAATGAGCGCGATTTAACTAAATTTTTTTGAAGAAAAATGGTCAAAAATGAACGGGAAGAAAAATAAAGAGAGAGATTGATGAGGTGAAGAATGAAGAGAAGAAGATGAAAAAAAATTTCTAAAATGAGAACAAAAATGTATTTTTTAAAAGAACGGAGAATGAAAAGGTGGGAAAATGAAAGAAACACCTGTGGGGTAAAGAGGGGGTTTTTGGGCGTTGTGACGATAGGCGAAAGCTTATAAAATAGTCAGATGAATAGGTAAAATTCTGAAATTTTGCATAAATGTAGTTAATAGTGTTAGCTAAAAATTTTGAAAATTTCAGAATTTTAGGTTAAGTATTTCAAAAGTTATGATCAAAAATCCAGAAAAATAGTCGTTTTTATGTGAAACTCAGATATTTTCGACCATAATTTCGTAAATAGATAACCAGAAATTCTGAAATTTTGAACAAAGTTAGAAGACACTATTATAGATATTTGTGCAATATTTCAGAAAAAAGGGTGCTCATTTGACAAAATTATAAGCGATCGCTAACACCACTCCGCGCCCAAACATGACAGTTAATATAGGGGGGGGGGTTATTTGTGTGTTAAAGGTGAAAAAATAAATTGAAGACGGACACAATTGTTTGGGAATGGATCGTTTCTGCAAAAGTTGAGAAGCAGCCGAACGGTGAGCGCCAGCCACCGACACCGGCCTTGCGCTTTATGTGGGGGGAGAAAAAAAGTTTTTTTGAAGGACGCGTGGAAGGCAACAATGTATTTTTGTTGTTTTTTGTTGTTTTTTGTGTTGCTCGCGCCCCAAATAAAAATAGAAAAAAAAGGGAATGAAGTTGAGCCGTCACTTTTTAAAGTGTTGCCATTTATAAAAAATTTTAATGAAGAAGAATTGTTTAGAATACTGCGGAATTATTTTTAAAATATTTTATAAACCCGTAAGGAGATTCAAAGTAGGCAAGGGAGATAAAATTTCAGAAAGCGTGAACAAAAAGGGATATACATATGTATCAGAGTTGAGGTAAGAAAATAATGAATTAGGATAATACAAGAATAATAATAATCAGTGCTGGGTATAGTTCAGGGAGCTAGCTCCAGAGCCGGACGGCGGAGGCGTAGACAACATGAATCGTGGGCGATATCATGGTTTTCGGGGGGATTAAGAGGGATATAGGAGATAACCGGCCAACAAATGTTTAATACCCATCACTGATAATAATTCTGAATTTTATTTATTCCCCGCCTTTTTTCTACAATAGAGAGGCAAGCGTTCAATGCTAAAGAGCGATTATTTAGAAATAAGAATTAATTAGGTTTATTCAAAAATAAATTTATTTATTTATTTATTTTTCAAGAATTCTCTTTCTCTTATTTTTAATGATTTTCCTCTTTTCTATCTTTTTAATGATCATTAAAATTTAGTTCGCGCAGGCATAATACGGAAGTTTTTTTTTAAAAAGGACGGAAACGTCGCAACTTTTTTTATTAATTTATTTTTTTTGGATTTTCCAGTTCCTTATTTTATTTTTTAAACAAATAAAAATATTTTATAAAAATAATATTCTAATAGACGCCCAAATAAAAATCCTTGATAGACTGTATCCCTAAAGGAGGTTGGCATTTTCTTGAAGCTCTCTCCCTCCGTGGTAAAATTAAAGTAAGAAAATTGGGCTGTACTCATCCGAAAATTGAGGAGTTTTATTTCCTCGGAAAAGCTAGCAAAAACTGAGATTTAATTCTGGATATGTCCTATCTCATTGTCAGGCCGGCTGTTAAGATTTTTGTTTGTGAGTGATTTAACCTACAAAAATGGCCTATTGGGTAGTGAAAAAGAAATCGAAATTGTTCAGATTTCTAAAGAAAAAATAGGAAAATTTGAGGGATACTTGAGAAAAAAAATCAAAAATTCAAAAAATTTAAATTTCGGGTTAGATTAAAAAAATAATTTTTTCGGAGTGAATAAAATAGACTATAAAAAGGAAGAAACTAAACTTAGGTATATTTTAAATAAAGCTCTAAAAGAAAAAATAAAGTTTAATTTTTAAACAAAGTTTTAATTTTAAAAATAAAAGAGTAAAGAATACAAAGAAAAAAAAGTTTATTTAAAAAAAGTTTATTTATTTTTCCAAGTTTTTAAGAATGCGCAAAGTGAGAGAAAAAATGTTCATATAAAAGCAAATTGAGCGTGAAAAAATGCTTATTTATTTTCTTTAAACAAACAAAGTTTTTAATATTAAAATTATTGATTTAATTTTTTAAAAGGGAGAGAAATTAAAATAAAGTTGGAAAAATAAATTAAAAACTTGGGAGCATTTTATGAGAAAATTAATAATATTTTATAGGAGGGATTTTTAAGCAGAAAAATTGACAGATGAGTAAATAATTGGGGGGAAATAAAATTAATTTTTTAATAAAAAATTTTTTTTACTTAAATTTTGGTTGAAAAATATAAAATTAAAAAAAATATTTTTGTGTGACCGGAATTTTATTTTTTTTAATTTTAATTTAATTTCCGGTAAACAGGTCAACGGTTATAAAGTGTAAAGTTAACGTTCTCGAGTTCACGCGGTTAATTTGAACAGTTTTATTTTTGTGAAAAAGATTTTAGTTAAATAATTAAGCTTATTTTGAAGTTCAAACTTGAATACTAAAAAATATTTAAATTGGAAATTCTGAAAAATGGAAAAAAATTTTGGGGTCTGATTGTATTTCCTTTCATCTTCCATTAATTTTTGAATTCCCAAAATATTTTTTAGAGATGTACCCATCTCCTCTCTACTGTCCCCTTAATCCAGACTTATTTCCATGCTGCTACCTCTCCTGCCTCAGTCCCCCCTCTTTTAGCCCACTCTTGTCCCTTTCCCTTGTCCCACTGCTCTATCCCTCTTTCCTGTCCCAGTCCCCGAACGTCTTGGAATTTGAGATTTAATTAAAGTATTCCTCTTAATACCTCCTTTCTGAGTATTCCATTTCGCTTTCTCCCTAAAAAATTTCTCCGAACTTCCTGGTCGGTGAACAACCCCAACCACCTCTTTCCATCTCTCCATTCCGCCCAATAAGAAATTTTTAAAAAAACAAAAAAATTTTTGCAACAAAAAAAATATAAAGTTATTTTTAACACAAAAATAAGCATGTGTGTGTTGTTGTTTATTTATATTGTAATGAATATAAACCACCCCCTAACCGAGCACAAAATAAACCAAAGGCCAGTCAGTCAGTGGCGGCCGGATATGTCGGTGCCAGCCGATTGTGTTTTAGAAAAAAATGGGTAAAGAAATGAAGAAAGGAGAAGAGAGAATTAAACATTCAAAAATGGAAACTATAAAAATGATATAAAGGAGTGAACATTTAAATTAATGAAGAAGAAGATGGAGGAGGAGGAAAATAACGGCAGAAAAATGCATGAGAGGGAGGTTTATTATTATTTTTTTTTATTAAATGAGAGGAAGATTAGAATATTTATTTAAAAAAAATAATATTGCTGATGTTGCGAATTATTTAATTTACTAAAAATAGAGTAAATAATTTAATAATAAAAAATATGGAAAATAAAAAAAACAGACGGTTGGAAAGGGAGTGGAATCATGCCAGTCTACCGTAGAGTTACGAGATAAAGTAAAATTGTCAGAGCAATCAATTGAAGTATAATCCGGTATAGACCAACGAGATACGTGTTAATTAGGGTAAATTTACTAGTTGAAATAATTTCATAAGAATATTTAAAAATAGGGAAGTCCGAAGCCTCTGGGCTGATTTATCTGAGAGGCTAGGATGAGTTTCTCTAAGATCCTCAACAGTTACTTCCCATTACTCGAAGCAACTGTTGAGAGCTCAAAGGAGTAACCACACTTTTTTCGAATATATCACAATATTCGAGACCGAATTGAACTGACATATGATGGAAAGTGACATTGAAGAGATCGCCATATAAGAGAAGGTCAACTGAACTTACTCGTTCAACTTAGATCCTAGTCTGCTTATTTATACCACAAGATATCTTCCCAATATTTATTTTTGTTTTATTTGTAAAAATAAAATGACAGAACGCCAAAAAAAATTTTTGCAACTATAAATAAAAATATTTTTTGAGCAAAACAGAAAACTAAAAAAATTCCCTAGGGGGACTAGCTAAAAACGACTGGTAGAAGAAAGGGGTTCATTAAAAAAGACAAAGTCTGACCAAGAAAAATGGACAAAAAATGAATGGGAAAGGAAGGATAAATATAAAAATTAAAAGAAGGCCAAAGAATATATAGCTGTAGCGAACTGACACATTTTTCTCTCAGTTGGAAGGATGGAGGGGGGGGGGGGGAATTAAATAAAAAAAAGAAGAGATGAAGAAGGAGAAGTTTAGAAAGAGGCTGACAATTGGCTATTTTTGCAAGTAAAAAAACGAAAAAATATTTTTATATTGGCATAGTAGATGTTTTTTATTTTTTTATGAATGGAGGAGGAGAAATAAAGGAAGGAAGGAGTATTTTAGCTTTTGGGAGAAAAATTTTTTTTTGTGATTTTGGGGAAGGGGGAGGGGGTAAAGCACATTAAAAAGTGTTAATTAAATAAAAGAGATTATTTAATTAATTAAAAATAAAAATAAAGAATAAAAATCAGTTGTTTTTTTTGTTTATTAGTCATAAAAAGAAGGAAAAAAACGAAAATTTTCTTTCATTAAAAATTTTTTGGCCAATTCCAGAAAACTATTTGAAAAAGTATTTCTTTACAACAAAACAAAGAACACAAAAAGAATGGAAAAAAAGATTTGTTAGAGATTTATTAGTTTATAAAAATTGCATTTTTAGAGAGATTGTGGTAATCAAATTATTTTTTGTTGGTCTAAAAAAGTTTATTAAAAATATTTTAAAGTCAGCAATGAGCTCTCTTCCTTATGGAAAATACAAAGGTCTCCCTTTGGTTCTTCAATTCCTCTTCAATTTGTTTCTGGGTATCCAGAGATGTTCGGAGAACCGATATCCCTAATATCGTGTCTTTTTATTGGAATAAAAACCAAAAAGAAAAAATTTAAATTAAAAAAAACCCAGTTAATTTTTAATGTATTTATAATCAAAATTAATGTTAATTTATTAGATAAACAATTTTTAAGAAATTTAATTTTTGACCAGACAAAAAATAAATTAACAAATAAATACCACACACACACATGCACTTAAATGCAACATTTAAAAATACCCGGGCTCCACCTTGTACAAGGGTCCTTTATTAATGAAAATAAATTTTCCTTCCTTGTCGAAAGGTGACGTATACAGAAAAATTATAAACAAAATCAGACAAACATCTGCCTGTCGAGCTCTAAGGTTAACGACAGATTTTTCCAATTGTGTCATACAAAAAGGATAAATGATAAATTTATGAGAGGAGAATTTAAAAAATGATCTAAAAAATATTTCAAAAAATATCTAAAAAAATAAATTATTTCTAGAAATTCAGATACATTTCACCTTATTGACAATTAACCGAATCTGAATTTTTAAATTTAAAAGCATAAATTATTTTTAAATTTTTTTATGCGATATTATGTATAAGAATATTTGAATATAAAAATTGAAATAGGTAAATTAATGATAAATGGGTAGGAAAGAATTTTTTTCAGAAATATACCAAAAAAAGTTGAATATATTAAATTATTATAGAAGAAGAATTATTTTTGTTTTGTGTGTTCTGAATGAATTGCGCGTTAAATAAAAGCTTTTTTTAATTTTTTTAAAAATTTAATTAATAGCCGTACAGTTTTAATTTTGTAATTATAATAAGAGGGATGTGATTTAAATTAATTTTGACAATATTAATTAAATAAAAATTAATTTTTGTGAATAATAATTATTAAATAAATGGGTATTTATTTGAAAAAATAAAGGAGAAGAGAATTAAAACTTTTCAGAATTTTTAAAATAATTTCAGAATTATTTTTTAATCAGAATTCATTTTAAAATAATAATAAAAATAAATTAATCACCATATAGACAATTAACCGAATTGAGTTTTTAGACATGCTATCTTAAAAAATCAAAAGGCTCATGTGTATTTGGATACAAAATAAGATTAAAAGTAATTAATTTTGTAAAATAAATAAAAAATAAATTTAGAGTAATTTAAATAATTTAAATATTATTTCGGTGAATTGTCTATTCGGTGAATTAAAATATTTAAATAAAATTTTTTTAAATTTTTGTTGTGATAACAACATTAAAGGGAAAAAATAGAAAAATTTCATTTTTTATTTTTCTTCTTCTCTAATAAATAATTTTTTTTAATTTTTCTATCCGCAACTCTCGGGGATGTTTAAAGGCGAACGGCGGAGACAGGCACGGCCGAAGAAATAAAAAAAATAAAAATAAGAAAAGGGGGAAAATAAGAAAAATATGTGAATGTATATTTTAAATGTGTGAATTAATAAAATGAAAAAAACGTGGAATGCGCAGCATTTGCCTTTTTTAATGATAAAAATATTTTTTATAGGAAAAAAGTTTTTTGATTGAATTTTTAAATTTCTGACCTTTGTTCCCTAAAATATTTTTCTGAACGGGTTCTCGTTGATATAAATTTTTTGATTAGATTTTTGTATTTTTAAAATAGTCAGGAAACTATGGAAATGTAGATTCGAGTCCGGAATTTCAGAATTTAAGGGAAAATTACTGGGGGGCTTTTGAGGAGTGATCGTTCATGTGAGATCGTCAAGGAAACAATCCCTAGTAAAAAATTGGAAAATAAAATAAAATTAAGGTGACAATAATATCCATTTAGACTGGTCAGTAGACTGTCCAATAAATATTTCAGAAGAACAAAATATGTAAAAGAAGGAAGAAAAATTTTTTCCAAGGAAAAAAACTCCCCCAAACCTCATATTTATTATTTTCAGTAAAATTGTCTTTCGGTAAAATGTCTCAAATTAAAAATAAAAACAACTTTTTAAAAAAGAGTGTGTAAAAAGAAGAGAGACATTTTCAGAATTAATAAAAGCAAAACTTTTTCAGAATAAATAAATAAACTTGTCAGAGAAATTTCTCTTAATTTCCTATAGTCTTTTTTAATAACCATGTCGCAAAGCTATAAATGTTTGTAAAAACGGAAAAAAGGGCTGAATAATTTTTTTAAATTTTTTAATAGAATTTTTAATGATGACTACTATTATTTTTTATTAAAAAATTATTTATTTAAGTAGTACATTCACCTATTTTTTAGTAAAAATATTATTTAAATAGCTTCGATTTCTCGTTAAAAATTAAAAAAAAATAAAGTACAGAAACAAAAAAAATTTTTTTCCCGGAAAATCTGTGGGCAATTTGCAAAATTATTTTTTTTCTGGGAGGAAGTTGGGGAAAAGAGATTTTTGGATGAAAAAAAAAAGATTTTTTAAATTTTACCCAAACTTTTTTCTATGCCAAAAAGCACTCCAAAATTTAATTTAGAAATGGGCCAGAAAGTAATATAATAAAATAAAAAAGTATAGGTGCAAAATCGAGGCTGGTAGTGAATGATATTTTTTTTAATATAATAATGAAATTAATAAATTAAAAAGTCAAGAAAGTGCTAGTGCACTTTTTGTTTTAAAAATTAAAAAATATAAAATATATGTAGAATAAATTGTTAGACTAATTAATAAAATTAAAAGAAAAGGTTAAATTAAAATTAAAAAAATATTAAAAAATTTTTTTTATAACGTATAAGAAGCTTTAAAAATAATTAACAATTAAATCCAATAAAATTAAAGAGAGAAAATCAAAATATGCTTAAGAAACAAGTTTATTTATTAACAACTTATTTTAAGGTTGCTGCTTCAAGTTTAATTCTGATAAAAATTCTGATTTTAATAAATAAACTTTAAAAACAGAAATAAAAATATTCTGATTTTTGTATTTATTTTTTATTTTCTGATTAATTCAAATTCTGATTTTTTCAACATTTTTCTCTAAAATCAAAGCTATACGCTAAAATTTTCGCAGTGCACGACAAACGCAAAAAGTCAAAATTTTAATAACAATAAAGTAATTAAAATTAAATAGTATGTACATAAATATGTATGTTAATCCTTCCTTTATAAATCAAATTCTTTAATCTCTAATATTTTATTTTGTACCAAAAAATAATATTTTTTCGGCTTTATTTTAGGTAATTAATTTTATATACAGATGTAGGTATTTTAATTATTTTTTTTTATTTTTTAAAGTTTAGTTGACGTGTTTTTATTTTTTAAAAATATTTTCTCGAAAATAATCTAAATAATTTATATTTATTTTTTAAAAGTAAAGTTTAGCCAAGAAAATAAAATTTATGAAAAGACTGAAAGGCTAAATAAAGAAAATTAATTTAATTGAATGAATAAAAAATACAGAAAATTAGAACAGAAAAATAAACAACCAAAACACGCAAATCAAAAAAAAATAATTTAAAATAATCTGAACTAGTTTTTTAACAAACGAAAAAAAATTATAGAATTTTTATAGCGCAACCTTTTCTCTCCATTTAAATCTATAATTAAATCCAAAAAATAAATTTCAAAGATTTTTTGAAATATTTACTAATGACGTTCAAGTTATGAAAAGTTCTTAAGATTTAGAGGGAAAATTTTTTTATTCCACTAAAAGTAAATTTTCTAAGGACCTCAAAAGAGACAAAAACAAAACTGAAAATACTCCAAAAGTTTCGAGTCAAATTAAAAGTTTTGACTGAAATACATATATACTCCACTCTTGAATAGTTCACTCTTCTCTATTAATTATCCCTCCAACGAGAATTTGAAAAAATAATTGTTTAGGGTAATTAATAAAGTATGTATATACGGTAATATTCTCTCATATTTTAGAAATATTTGTTTTTATTTCAATTTTTAGATCTCCACAAAAAATCATAATCTGATATAGACATCTTCGCTAACGTTATAAAATTTTTTTACTTATTTCACATCTTTAAAATTTTACTTTCATAAATTTAACCCATTAAATAACTTATCTATACATATACCATTCAACCAAAAAAATTGCTGACCAAACAGCAACTCTTTTTAAAAAAATTATTAATGTGTGTCAATACAGCTGGCGCTAAAACTCAATTAAAGAGAGTCAGATTGATTAAAAAATGATTATATTTGTAGATAATAAAAGGGAGTAGAAGAGGTAGAAAAATTAAATATTATCGGAAGTTGTTGATGGCGGAAGGTATTGCAAGGAGGGAAAAAGAAGGGAGAGGAAGAAAGGAACACCAACTGAAAATATTATTTTTTAGTGGAAAGGGCGTGAAAATCAGTCTTAAAAAATTAGAAACAGTCAGAAAAATGGGGAGATGTTTGGAGCTAAAACGAAGGGAATTAGAGGAGTAAAATTGCTTCCTCTTCCTATGAGTTGGGGGTTGATTGGGCGCAAAAATGATCGGAAACTTAATATAAAAGTACCAGATAGAATCTGATATTCTTAGAGGGTATCACAGAGAGTAATGATAGGTGTCAGTAATCCAGGGAGGATGAAACGTAAGGAAATGTCATGTACACGCATCAGATAACTTCTGAGATTATTAGAGGGTAGTGCAAGGTACCATTAATCCATGAGGGGTAATGCAAAATCAAGGAAGTTAGATGTCTTGAGTATGTCAGTTCCACCTTTATTCCTTCATCTTCCTCAGACTTCTTCCTTTCTGAAATTTCGTACTTCGAAATCACTCTTGAGAATTCGGTCAAATCCTTGATATCCGACAATATCCTACTCAGTCATCCAATATCTTTTTAATCACAATTATTTAGATACCTTCCCCATATCATTCTCTAAATACCTAATAATTTCCCCATATTCAACTTAATCCACCTTAAGTCCTACTTAATCCATCCCTCTCAAGATATTCCATACAAATCGCTCTATATTCATTTTCGACCATTGGAATCTCGTTAACAATATTTAACGATATTTAAAATAAATTTAGGTTCACCCTGCTCTAGATAACTCAATGAAAAATATTTGTGGATAGGTTCAAGACTCTAATACCTCTCAAGACAATCTCCCTAAACAAAACCCACTCCTTAACAGTTCTGCGCCTTAATGTCCATTCTCCTCCCTAGTTAATTTTCTAGCTACCCATTAATAACAAAAAATAACGATGATATTATGGAAGGAAAGGAGGCCAAATAATGTAAAAAATATTAAGAGACCATCGAACAAATTAGTAGGATATGTGTCTACATGTCATAAATTATATAAATAAATAATTGGGTGAATGGAGCGTATAAAATAAATATTTTTATTTATTTATGTTGCAAAAAATAAATTTTTAAAAAATATATTGTTTAGAAAAATAGCCAAAAATAGAAATTTATTGAGACAAAAAAGCTATTTTGTAAAGAGATTTATTTTAAGAGATTTATTTTGTAAAGAAACCCTAAAGGGAAATGAATAGGAATAATTTGTACAATTAATGTAAGAAGCTTATTGGATTAATTCGTAGCATACGGTAGAGACGTTCAACTCGAGGCTTGGCTTAGTTTCAAGTTTTTTTTTTATTAGTCTTGGTCTTGTGTGTATAGAGTTGGTATTAGTTCCTAGAAAATTTTCAGTTTTGTACCAGGGTGGCCCTTTTGCCCTATTTACAGGGCATTTGCCCTATTTTTGGCCTTTCCGCCCTATTTTTTCCCTATTTTTACATTTGCCCTATTTTTACCATTTTGTAAAATTTTTACAATTTTAGAATTTCATAATGAAATGGCAGAAAAAATAAGAAATCTGGCTTTACGGCCTTCCAAAATTTCTAAAATTTTCGCCTGCGGCGCAAAAAAGGAAGAAATCTGGCTTCTTGGCCTTACAAAATTCTCAAAATTTTTGCCTGCGGCGCTGAAAAAGGAAAAATCTGTGAAGACTTTGTGTGAAATTGAGGGATTGGAAGGGCTTGATTGGAATATAGGCGGAAAATACTCGAAGTTTCTACCCACGAATTCACTGAATCCTCACAAATCCCTAGATAACTACAAGTTTCTAACCATTTATCCATCTTAGATAACTTTCTTGATCCTAAATCCCCTAGATAACTCTGTTAACCCCAATTCCATTAATAATTGCTCAAAATCCCCTATATCCCTCCATTTGCTCAATTTAGTTAAACCTAGTTAAAAAATTAAGAATAAAGCTTTTTAATTGAAATTTCAATTATTTTTAGGATTTTTAAATAATGCCCTATTTTTTGCCCTATTTTGGCCTATTTCGCCCTATTTTTGCCCTATTTTTGAGTGGCTGCGCCCTATTTTGGTGTTTTGGAAAGGGCCACCCTGTTTTGTACACCAACCCTCATTGATATTAGATTATCAAAATGAGGAATGGACATAATAAGACAGAATTTTCAGTGCCGCAGGCGAAAAGTTAGAAAATTTTGGAAGCCAATAAGTCGGATTTTCTTAATTTATGGTGCTTGATATATACAAAAAATTGTGTAAAAATAGTAAAATTGGCAGCCGCAATCCGCAAGTTTAATTTTAAAATCCGGAAACGCAATCCGCAACTGCGGACAGCTCTGGTGGTGACCAGTGATGTCAAAGTTCCAGTTCCAGTTCCGGAACTAATTAGTTCTAGTTCCAGTTCCGGAACTAGAACTACGGAACTAACGAGTATCTGGAACTAGTTTGGAACTAGAACTACGGAACTAGTAAATGCCTGGAACTAGCTTGGAACTGGAACTACGGAACTAGTAAATGTCTGGAACTAGCTTTGGAACTAGTTCTTGGGGGTATATTTTTGACAAAATTTCCTCGAAAATTACTTGCAGCGCGCTGTGGTATGGAAGAAATCTGGCTACTTGAGCTCCAAAATTTTAAAAATTTTCGCCTGCGGCTCTGAAAAAGTGAATTTTTTGGCCTACGACCTTAGAAATTCTCAAAATTTTCGCCTGCGGCGCTGAAAAAGTGCATTTTTTCGGCCTCTTAATCCTCCAGTTTATCCTCCAATCTCCTTAAATCCTCCGTTATCACTCATAATCCTCTTATGACCCAGATATCACCGAAAATATCCCCAGATATTTTTTTAAATCCGTTAATCCATTCGCATCCTCTGATCTCCCCGTTAAAATTTTTTATGTGAAAATCCCGAAATTCCGCGGGATCCCGCTAAATTTTAGAACGGGATTATCGGACTCAACTCTCGACACGGACGACTATCAAGCGTTGAGTGTCAAGTAGTACGTATCCTTCCTGCATTGAAATAAAAAAGGCACGGACCAAAACACTTGACACTCAACGCTCAACACTTGACACGGATCAATTGAGGGAGTAGTGTTATGCCTTTATTTGTTAAAATTGATAAATCCTTTCATATTCAAAAATTTAAAAATTTGGAACTAGAACTAGCTTGGAACTAGTTCCAGAACTGGAACTAAGGAATTTCAAAAATGGAGTTCCGGAACTGGAACTGGAACTACAAAAATTAAAAACCTGGTTCCGGAACTGGAACTACAAAAATTAAAAACCTAGTTCTGGAACTGGAACTAGTTCCAGAGAAATTTTGGAACTTTGACATCACTGGTGGTGACACTAATGAGGTCCGAATAAAAATGAAAAATAAAGTTATATTGTAAAAATAATTTTAATCTAAATAACTCAAGCATAATTTAAAGATACTTTTGAATATTAAAATTTATTATAAGAAAGTAATTTTAAATAACTCCCACTAACTGATACTTAATAGTTTTTCCTCATGACAACCAGTTTGAATAAACATTTAGAAAGTGGGAAAGTTAGACAATAAAAAATATAAAAATAAATACAAAATTTTGTGTGTGTGGGCTTAGTTGATATAGCTACTAATTGTTAAATTAATAGCTGGCAAATAACAAAAAATAGATTTTAAATAGGTACCGAACTTGAGAGGATCGACTGAAATTCAAATTGACAACTTGATAATCTAGATTTTTGTGTGAGTTCATGTCTCAGTTCGATCCTTAGTTCTAAAACTTAGGCGGGATGAATGATAAAGAGCTGGCTAAAGGTTCAGAAGTTGGAAGGAAGTTGGAAAGGACAAGAATTTTATATTAAATGAGGCACGAATCAGGTATGTTTCTGCCACGGAATACGATATTAAGTAGAAGGTTGTCTAAAATAGCATAAGATAGCCCCTAGGGCTGAAAGATGTATCCTATACTGAGTGTACATTTTAAACAAAGTCGGGCTTGGCTATACCTAATTGTCCGATTGTTTATAAGATAAACCGGCAGGAATAAATAACAATCACGCGATTAAAGCGGGAAACGCAACAGACCAAAATAGTGTCTGGACAAATTTTATTTCAAAATTTTATTTTAAGCGAAATGAAAATTATTTCTTTACTTTAATGTATGGCGAAGTTTTCTTACAAGGATTTCATATGGAAGTAAACAAAAAAAGGAAAAATCGTAAAATAAACAAAATTTAAATAAAAAACAATCAAAACTTTAAAAGTGACAAACTGTTCAATTTAAAACAGGGCTCTCATCGACAAAATACCAATCAAGAGTACAAAAATCTCGATTTTAAAGTACATAGGGACAAAATTTCCAAATTTAAAGGACACTCAAAATTAAATTACAAAATATTTATTCGCCCTCAAATCTTTTATATTTCTCTCCTAAATAAATTTTTCTAATAATCTCTTGTTTCCACTGAGCATTTTGTGCATTTCATACACGCCATGTCAAAATTCGCTGTCACAAGAAGTAAAGCCCTGACAGTCTTAACCTCAAGCAAGCTACTTTCTTACGTCCATTTTCAACGCCGCAGGCGAAAATTTTGGGAAATTTCGGGGTTCTTAAGACAGATTTTTTCCATTTTTAGCGCCGCAGACGAAAATTTTTTAAATTTGGCACCCAAGAAGACAAATTTCTTTCTTTTTCAGCGCCGCAGGCGAAAATTCTGAGAATTTTGGAGGTCCTTAAGCTAAATTTCTTCAATTTCTTGCGCCGCAGACGAAAATTTTTTAAATTTGGCACCCAAGAAGACAAATTTCTTCCTTTTTCAGCGCCGAAGGCGAAAATTTTGAGAATTTTGGAGTTCCTTAAGCCAGATTTCTTCCTTTTTCAGCGCCGCAGGCGAAAATTTTGAGAATTTCTAAGGCCGTAGGCCAAAAAAATCCACTTTTTTGCCCAATCCTTCCCTAATTTCATTTTCAATCCAAAATGTTGATTTTAAAGTACATACTTTCAATAAAGTACAAATTCAATTTTGTAAGTACGGAGGTCGATTTTAAAGTACTGTACTTTCAAATAAAGTACGAATGAGAGCCCTGATTTAAAATTATAAAAGAAATTTCACTAAAAATCATTCGATTTTTGGACAAAAATTGAAAAAAATAACTGGCAAATGTTTGAAAACCTTAAAAAGTGGTTAAGGTTTATTTCAAAGAAAAAGGAAAAGAGACCACCCTGGGCCGTGATGTCGCATCTAAAATATATATTTTTACAAGAGGGGAAGAAGAAGAAGATGTTTTGGGAGCGAACGTGTCTTTGAGTGCGTGCAGGGGGAATTACTTAGCCTGAGAATATTTTTTCCGAAGAGTGAGAGAAGGAAAACGAAGAAAAGATGTTTAACAAAATTTTTTTTTTGAAAAAAAAATTTTTTTAGTACGCGTTTGGGACTTGAATATAAACTAAAGGGAAAATAGGGGCAGTTTTGTT